ACTCCTCCTCAACTTCAACAGACTTTACTCCGATAGCAGCCCGAAGTTTCCCTAGCTTCACTGCTGCCAGCGGCTTAGTCAGGATGTCCGCCTCCATAAGTTCTGTAGGGCAGTACTTGATGGACACGACACCGTTTGCCACAAGATCTTTCACGAATGAGTATTTGGTGTCAATGTGCTTCGACTTTCGTGAAGCGCGTTCCGTAGCAGTGAGAGCAATGCTGCTCTGGTTATCCTTATGAACTGCAATGGGATACGCCATGGACACACCCAGATCAGCCATTAGCTTGCGCAGCCACTGTAACTCCTGCAGACAGTCAGCCAAAGCGATATACTCAGCCTCGGTGCTGGACAGCGCCACGCTGGTCTGCTTTCGGCAACACCACTCGATGAGTCCACCACTAAACTTGAACAGAAAGCCATTATTGGATTTTCGGTTCGTCACTTCACCCGCCCAATCGGCATCTACGAAACATTCCAGCTTCAGTTCCTCGTTAGCACCTAGGTGTAACTCGTGGTTGATTGTCCCCTTCAAATACCGAAGCACCTTTTTGGCCTCGATCCAGTCGGCCTTCCCTGGTTTGGATACACGCCACCCAAGGACAGAAGTAGCGATTGAAATGTCCGGACGACCGTTTATGGCAACATACAACAACGCACCGATTAGGCTTTGGAATTTATCCTTCTCCGCAGGCTCATCGCTCTCCTCCTGCTGTTGTTGTAGGTAACCACTCGCCATCGGGACCCGTGATGTGTTAGCCTTCTCCATTCCAAATCGTACGAGTGTTTTTGATATGTACGATTTCTGGTTTGTTTTCGGACCTGAATCCCCAAGAAGCACGAAAGTTCTCCCAACTCGGTGATTTTGAAGTTCCTCGCCAACACCTCGACCACTGCTTGGTATTCCTGCTCCGTGTTGCAGATAATGATGAGATCGTCTACGTATAGTAGCACATACACGTAGCGACATCGATCTTTCGGTTCCACACGCGGGCAGCCTGTTTTAGCCCATACAAGCTGCGTTTGAGACAGCATACCCTGGTTGGATCCTCGGTCTCGAACCCAGGAGGCTGTTTCATGAATATCTCCTCCTGTAATTCGCCATAGAGATATGCTGTTTTAATGTCGACGTGCCTTGCCAACATTTTCCGGCTGCTAGCCACTGTGAGAACCGCACGGAAGGTGATTTGTTTTACCACTGGTGCAAAAACCTGGTCGTACTCGCTGCCAAACTTCTGGCAAAACCCTTGAGCGACGAGCCGGGCTTTGAAACGAACGACGTCCCCGTCGGCGCTTTCCTTGCGCTTGTACACCCATCTTGACCCGATGGCCCTACTACCTGTAGGCAACTCGACGACGTCCCAGGTACCGTTCTCTAGTAATGAAGCCATTTCTTCCGCCATAGCCGCCTTCCACTTATCATTCTCAGCCACCTCTGAAGCTAATCCAATTGTATCTCGATATCTTTCCGGTGGTACTCCGATGTTCGTTTTGGCAGAACGTTGCAAGCCGCAAGGAACTTCACCTAACTCTTCCTGACCTGATTCGTTCTCAACGCCTAGAAAACGACCATCGCCGCCTTCGTCCGAGCCGTCATCACATCCGAAAAATTCTTCTTCCGACTCGATGCTTTGGTTGCACACGTCATCTCCCAGTTCATCCAAAGGAGCCGCGTTATTGGGCGTACTTCCTACCTGTACGAACACCTCTTTGTCCACACCTCGTTTGATTGCCTCCGACTGGTCGCAGGTAGCATCATGTGGCTTCGCTCCGTTGAACTCCAAAAACTGAACATCTCGGCTCACTACAATCCGGCCGGTACACACATCCAGTAGCCGGTAAGCCTTATGCTCGGAAGAGTATCCGACGAAGGTGAGTTTTTCAGCTTTAACCTCGAACTTCTTTCGTTTCTGATGGGGAATCCAGGCGTACGCAGCACATCCGAAGATCTTCATGCCCTTCAGGTCCGGCTTCCTGCCGAACCAAAGCTCGAAAGGAGTTTTGTCAACAGCAGCGGACGGCAACCTATTTTGAATGTAGGCGGCCGTATTCACCGCCTCTGCCCAGAAACGTTTGGGCAGCCCTGCATCGAGTAGCATACACAAACCCATTTCGTTGAGGGTCCTGTTTCGCCGCTCTGCTACCCCATTCTGTTGGGGAGCATACCCAGCGGTGTACTCAGGCTTTATTCCCTCCTCGGCATAAAATTTACGGATACTGTTAGTGATGTACTCACCTTCTCTGTCCGAGCGTATGGTCTTCGGCTTCTTACCTAGCTGGTTCTGGGTGAATCGGACGTAGTCGCGAATCCTACCTTCAACCTCCGATTTTTCCTTGAGATAATACACCTAGTGTACCTACTATGGTGTCGATCAACGTCATATAGTAACTACAGCCGCCCGGAGTCTCCGTCATCGGACCGCAGACGTCGCTGTGTACTATATCGAGCACCTCCTTTGACGTTTTCTTAGCTACCTGTAGAAAAGACGGCCTAGCCATCTTTGCCTTGACGCAGCACTCGCACGTCGCCCGGATTCCGCATTCACTGACGCACATTCCAGACACCAGACCCTTACGCACCGCTTCCTTTATGGCTTCCAGATTCTTGTGGCCGAGCCGGCGATGCCACGTATGTTGGCATTTATCGGTGTGTCCTTTGTCACTCACTAACAACGAACGCTCACTGGCCAGATTCAACCGATACAGGCCACCGATTTTGTCCGCGACCGCCACGACTTTCTGTCCGTACATCAATTGGCACTGTTCCCCGTCGAACTCAGCACGCACGCCCTTGTTCGAAAGTTTTGCCACCGACACGAGATTGCTTTCGAGCTCCGGTGCAAAAATCACTTCCGTGAGCGTTACCAAAACGTTTTCGCCGCGATCGTTCACGCACTGTATGGTACAATCCCCGATGCCTTCCGTGCGAAGCATTTTTCCATCCGCCGCCGAAATAGTCGGTCGCGCACTTTTGTCCAACCGAACGAACAAATTTCTATCGTTGGCCAAATGCGACGTCGCACCGGAATCAATCAACCACGCACTCGCACCGAAATCACCCGACCGTACCATAAACGTAAACGGCTCTGGGTCGTCTTCGCGCACTGTTTTTACTTTTTCTTTGCTCTTCTTCTTCGGATTTTTCTCCTCACTATTCTTCACCGCAATGAACGCTCTGCAGTTCCGTTTGCGGTATCCTTGCTTACCGCAATAGTAGCACGAAACATCCACAGATTTTTGCTGCTGCTGGCTGGATCCAACTCGTAGCGCCTGCTCCTCCGTTTCACCTTTCTGCTTTTTCTGCTTTTCCGCCTCGTCGACGAGCTTCACTTTAACCAACTCAAGTGTGAGCTCATCTTCGTCCCGTGCCTCCAACGCTGTTGTCAACGGGTTGAACGCGTGCGGAAGGCCACGAAGGATCAGCAGATCTCGAAGCCCGAATTCTGGAGACGAGCGTAATGCTTCTCGATGCCGGCAAGATAACTTTCCATATCATCACCCACTCGGTAATTTTGGTTGGTGATTTGCTTGAGCAGCGTCACTTTCTGCCCCAGAGACGTTTTGTTGTGGTGCAGCATGAGTGCATCCCACGTCTCTTTCGCTGTTGCTTTGTCGCGGATCAAATTGTACTGACTCTCGTCCACCAACAGCTGAATGGTGGCGAGCGTCTTTTCGTCGCCTCTCTCCATGCACCGGTCACTGGATTCGCTGCGACTCCCGGGTCGACGTATTTCCACAGCTGCTCTCGCCGGAGCAGTGCCGTGACGGAGAAGGACCACGCCGGGTAATTAGAGTTATTCAGCTTGACAACTCTTGCCCACTCCATTCCGCGAAAAAGTTCTGGAAAAACACTACCGTTTCCTCACTCGCGACTTTCACGGAAATAATAATCCGACTCGAACTAAAGCAACCGAAAAACGATCCCGAACACTTCCCGCTAATGATCCGTACCGGAACCAACTGGGCCCATAACCTGTTGGAGTGGCCGCAATGGCATTGGAAATAAGAACTCGGATCGGGAAGTAATAAAACACGTGTGCATTGAACGTGAACAACAAAATGAATGACAGTTTTATTCAGCGGAAGTAATACAGATCAAGGGGGGGAGGTGACTGTCAAATACGAACAATCGTCGCCTACCTCGCATAACTGGTTCCAAACGTAAACAAGCCATAACAAACCTACAGCGTTTGATTACGTTTGGAACCAGTTTCATACAAGATGATCAGTAGGCTGATTTGACAGCACGTCCCCCCCAGATACAGATGATAAAAAAACATATGTATCATGGTTTCTCTCCAGTTGATGAAGTTGTCGCCGCTTGGGGGGCTCAACATGGTTAACTATTGAAAACTGATCAAACTTTTTAGCCATACCCAACAAACAATTCAAAGTCACAAATCAGGCATAACATTTGATAACGGCACAAAAGCATCTGTAAACAAACTTTCTAAGGCCCTTTACACGCGAATCAAAGTACGCTCACGCAAACCAATACCACTTTCGGAAAGGTGATGGTTGGCTCTATCCGATGATGTTATTGGTTTGCGTGGACGTACTTTGGTTCGCGTGTAAAGGGCCTTAGAAAGTTTGTTTACAAATGCTTTTGTGTCGTTATCAAATGTTATGCCTGAAATAAGCATACATATTAAATAAATGCTGTATAACAGTCAACAATGCTGAATAAAACAGGATGCTTTGTAAATGCTTTATAAAAGACGTATTAGATTCATTATTCCACAACAATAAGACGAAGGCAATAGAGTAGTGGTTACCGTTTCCACTCCCTCTGAGTATTTCTAGTGCTGGTTCATAATGTTGATTAACCAGAACTGATCTAAACCGGTCAAGTTTGTGCCAGAAATTGATGCGCCAATGTAATCAGCTGCGAAAAACTGTTTACATCATGCTGATAACCATTTTTCGTGAATAACATGCTCACCAACATTAGTGATTCATATGGCTATGGACTATAAATAAATGATTAAATAAAATCAAATGTTAACAAACGTTTCTATATTGCACAACCATCAATCATAATACCCCAATCGGTGGGCTTCGTCCACGATCGCCACGAACGCAGCCATCGTTTCCTCACCGACTGGCGTAATCTGCTCCGCTGGCAGTATAAACATATCCGTCGAATCCGGTGGACCCCTCAGTTCAAACGTCAACGAAACCGGAATCTTGCCCTCCTGATAGGCCCAATCGATGCTTCCCCCACTGGACGGGTAAATCGTCTCGTGTTTACTTCCACCCTGGAAGCTTGTTCCATGAACCGCCGTTAGCGCTGCAATCGCCTTATCCGTGATCGACTGGAGATGTTCGTAGTTCCGGACCTTCTCGGTCGTGTGTCCGAAGGGAAACATCAGCAGCTGCGAGTACGAGTGCAGTGCGATGTACGTCCGGATGCGTTCCCTTTCAGCATTATTTCGGATGAAATCGGCCAGGGCAACTGCTTCCGGTTCCGAGAAGACGCTTCCCCCGGAAAAGTCGTAACTGCAAGGGTCCGCGCTGGAACCGATACCACCCCAGTTGCTGTCAAAGTTTCGGTTCAGATCCACCCCGCGGCACAGTCCGTACGGTTTGCGGTTCTTGCGCCATAGGCGATCCCCTTCAAAGGTGAACTTGTATCCATCCGGGTTGACCGTCGGGAAGAAGATCCAATCGTAGTCGTTGGAGAGCTGCACGATCTTCGGATCAGTTGAGGTGAGCAGTTGGTTCAGTATGAAGGTCACCGTTACCGGTGAGATCCACTCACGAGCGTGAATGCCACCTTCCACGAAGATGGCTTTGTTGTCCGGTTTGCGGGACAACTTGACGCCTTTGATGGGGCGACCTTCGTAAGAGTTTCCCAGGGAGAGTACGCTGACGGAGGGGTGCTTTTGGGTGAGATCGTCCATCCAGGCGTAAATCGTTTCCAGATGGAAATAGTGATTCCAATCGAACTCCGCCGGACCCGCCGTCACCGGTTTAACGTTTTTGGCCTCACTGTCGATTCGACTTTGCACGTTGTATTCCTACAAGAATTCACGGTGTAGGAGGGCAATCAATTATGAATTTCAGTCAGCAACTCACCAAAACACGTCCCTTGACCAGGAAGCGGTCCAACAGATCTTCAAAGTCGGCCACCTTGTTGGCAGCGACCATTATGGTCAACTGCTGACCCGCTTGCCGTGCATGGCCGTAGAAGGTACAGCTATCGCTTTTGGCTTCCAGATCCTGGAACACCTGGACGTGTCGATCCGTTTCCAGCTGCACCCGGTACAGTCGGTAGTGATCGTATCGGGCTTGGTTTCCAGAAGTGGAAGCTGTCAAACCAAATACGAGTAAAGTCAATCCAATTTGAATTGCTACACGGGAAAGAATTTGCCTACCGGCCATCATCGCTGGTGGTGATGGTATTTACTGGTCGAATCCCTCGTTGCGTTTTCCGGTGAGAAGATAGACAGTTATCTATCGACAGGGCTATCAGTAGATGCGTATTTAATGGGGTCCCAGTGGGATTTTCTTATCTACCTATTGTATAGAGTTTGAGGTTGTAAAAAGATGACTGAACGAGATTTGAATAATTTGAACGATGTCAGAAGATTCGAATTGGATACAGGCAGTCGGCAGCTGAGAGATACGAAAGGACGTAAATAGAGAGAAGATACCTGGCTGCTCTATTTATGACCGTCCGTGTTCATGCGGAATGTAAACAAAGCTGGTCAGAGCTGGTGCATGACTTCTTCTTTGTTCAGATTGTACAGTGTTTTACAAACATTAGGCTTCTAGACTAGTTTTATTGTTTTCTATACACAAACGTTGTTCTAGATTTTAAAATTTAGAAGTGCAGACCAGACAAAATTGCAAAAATTTCGTCCCATACTGTAACTATCTGCAAATTCATCGCGTCTCGTTTCGATACCTGCTTATGATGCCATCGCTCATATGACAGCGGATCTGTTCATCACACCAACACACCCCCAAACTTGTACTAAAATAATCCCATCGGTAAACATTGTCCTCGTCGCCACTTGTATGAGCATTCAGTATCACTTTTGTTTTCAGTGGGTTCGGGTGCAACTGCACCGCAGTTCATTTACCGGTAGCAGCTATCTACTAGCAAAAATGCGATTACTTAACCGTCTACTACTACTCGTACCAGCAGCCATTGCTGCATTGCTCCTTCTGATCCCATCGGGTTGCCGTGGCTGCTCGGTTACAGCTTCCTCCTCGCCTCAAGCGAACAAGGCACGCTATGACTACTTCCGGATCTACCGCGTCCTGCTGGAAACCGATGAGCACGTCCAGTTGATGCAGGAACTGGAGAACCGCAGCGATAGCTACACCTTCATGGGCCATGCTCGCCAAACCAACCAAAACTTGACCATCATGGTCGCTCCGCAGAAGATTGCCGAGATGACCGATCTGCTGGAACGGTTCCAAATCCCTGGATCCGTTCTCGTAAGTACCGCACATTCTCAATTTTGAACCCCGTCCCAATCTTGATTCTCTTTTTAGTTGAACAACATCCAAGACTTGATCGACCGTGAGGACTTCACCGTCATGCCCAAGGGAACCGTTCCGGAGCTGTTCGATTGGCAGCACTATTTCCAACTGGACACTATCCACAAGTGGCTCGATCTACAAGCTTCCAAATTCCCCACAATTCTCACAGTCATCCCCCTCCAAGCCAGCTACGAACGCAACCTGATCAAAGGGCTCAAACTATCCAAAAAGTCCGGGAACACTGCCGTATTCGTCGAGTGTGGCATTCACGCTCGGGAGTGGATCTCCCCTGCCGTCTGCACCTACATCCTTAACCAGCTGCTCACCTCCCAATCCGAAGAAATTATTGACCTGGCCGAAAACTTCGATTGGTTCTTCTTCCCGGTGGTCAACCCGGACGGATACAAGTACACCTTCCAATCGGACCGACTGTGGCGCAAAAATCGCCAACCGTACGGCTTGTGCCGCGGAGTGGATCTGAATCGAAACTTCGAAAGCAACTGGAATGGAATCGGATCCAGTTCCGATCCGTGCGCGTACGATTTCGCCGGTGGATCCGCGGCAAGCGAACCGGAAACGAAAGTTTTGCAGCAGTTCCTCAAGGAGAACGCGGCATCCAGTCGAATAAGGACGTACTTTTCGATGCACTCGTTTTCGCAGCTGATCATGTTCCCCTATGGCTACACGGTGGATCGGGTGGAGAATTATGACGACCTGAAGACGATCGGCGAGCGGGGATCGGAAGCGATTCGCAGGACGCACGGAAGGGAGTACCTGTCGGGGGCGATGATTGAGACCATCTATCCGTCGTCGGGGGACAGCGTGGACTGGGTTTTCAGCGAATGTGAGGTGCCGGTGGCGTTTACTTTTGAGCTGAGGGGCCCACCGGACAGTACCAATATGTTTATTCTGCCGGCGGAGGAGATTGTACCGACCGCGGAGGAAACGCTGGCTGCGTACGTGGCCATGCTGAAGGCGGCCCGGGAACTGGGGTACTATGCGAGTGAGGAGCAGAAGGCGGAGTTGTGATTTGTTTGAATTATTAAGAGATTCTTAAGTAGCTCATGTTTTCCCAATTTATCAAATTCAAATGATCAATTATTTCATATTTCGTTAGAAATTGCTCGAAACTACCAACTGTCATGTTCGACAACCCTCAGGATTTTGATACAGGTGAAATTATCATAAACGGTACATTTTAGAGCAGAACCGCCACATTGCAATCAAATAAATAGGATACGACTTCAGCGAGATTTTCACTCGTATTCACTTACTTTCTGACTAACTGATCACCCACATCCTTGATATCACAAACTCTGTTCTTGAGAAATCCTTTCAACAGCTTCCAACGACTCCGTCAATCCCACGTTAAGCCAGAATGAACATTGCACTGATTCAGCACAATGAGCAGCTCCTCGAAGTGGAAAAAATCGAAACCGGTGGCAAGGAAGACAGTTCTGGTCAGCAGTTTAAAGTTTAAAATTTGTGACAGTACAAAGGCCCAAGTGCAATGATAGCGGAAGCGGAACGGCAGCGGCAGCGGAAAAGCCCGATCTGAGTAAGCCTACTTGTCGGATTGAAAACAAGTTAGAACCAAATCGACTTCGGTTAGGCAGCTTGATGTCATTTGTGACAACTGTCAAACTTTCCGTTTCCGTTCCGCTTCCGCCCACATTGCGTTTGGGCCTTTAGGAGGGAAGTTGTTTAATCTGCAGAATGATAAAGCATCAGATATTAGTGTGATAGCAACAAAATCTAGCAAATTTCTCTCTTAGGAAAAGTTGTTAAGACAATCAAGGCAATTCGAATGGTGGACATATTAGTGACCATCTGGTAAATGACTGTATTCGGCAACATTGTTCAGATATCCAAACCCTAGCAAAGTAAGACCAAAAAAAGAATAACAAGAATCGAAACAAAAAAGACGATTCAGAATGGGCCTGATTTGTTGCACTATGTTGCTACCAGAGAGGGAGACACAGATAGCAGACACGGCATTCATTTTATAGCTTTTCTTTATGTCATGAAAATTTGAGCTATCCAGCTTACCATGCTCGGTAATGGCGTCCTGTTTGTTTAAATAAATGTATCCTTCACTGTGCTTTTTTACACTAACTGGAGGGCATACGTTGTTCCGTTTTCTTCTGTTCCTTGGAGAGGGAAAGGTAGGGGTTAAAGTCCTATCCTCCAGATAGTGTCAAAAATCACAGTGAAGGATACATTTATTCAAACAAACAGGCCGCCATTACCGAGCATGGAAAGCAGGATACATATGACATATTCAATGAATGAATCTAAAAATGGTGTCCCATTGAATAAGATAGCTAGAAACTGTAGACCTTTATGCACCAACAGGGACGCACGGAATCACCGGGAAAGTGAACAAAGGAAGCACCAGAGAGCAGACAAAAGAACCGCGGATACTTTCGGGGAGAAAAACTAGAAACACGTGTGCAAGTTGAGGATTTATTGTGCGATTAATTAGAAACGTCAAAAGGCATAAAATACAGTGTAGCCATCATCAAGTTATTTTTGTTTAGCTATACATCAAGGTGCTCATCCATTCTCAACACTCCTCCTGGATGAGTACCGCCTTAATTACTTCTTTAGCCCTACCTTCTTCAAGAACTTATCCAGTTTAGCTGGACCGACTGGTTTAGTAAGAGCGTCGGCGGCCATCTCCTCACTTGTACAATACACCAAATCTACAGTCTTATGTTCACGCAAATCACGGATGAAATGTCTCTTCGTATCTATGTGCTTCACTCTACCGCTACATCTTTCAGCTTTGGCGAAACGCAGACATCCCATGTTATCCTCGTACATAATTGTCGGATTCTTTTCCGACTCCTCCAGCTCCTCCAATAGTCGTCTCAACCACATCGCTTCCTGGCAGGCCAAGGATAACGCGTTATATTCGGTTTCCTAGGACGAAAGAGCAACTGTGTCCTGACCCTTGCTGGCCCAACTGACGGGACCACTTCCGTAAAAGAATATGAAACCGGTGGTAGAACGCCGAGTACGTCTGTTGCCGGCCCAATCCGAGTCTGAAAATCCTACCAGCTTCCATCCGTTCTGTGGTCCATAGCATAGCTTGAAATCCTTGGTCCCATTCAGGTATTGTAACACACGCTTTGCCGCATTCCAATCGCTGTTGTTCGGCTGACTGACTTTGCGTCCCAACAAACCCACGCTCAGCAACAAATCGGGTCTTGCATTGACGGCCAGGTACAGAAGCGCGCCAATCAAGCTCCTGTACAACGTCGTGTCTTCGAACGGATTGCTTCCTTCATTCTCTGCAATATACCCAAGATCTATCGGTGTCTTCACCGCATGAGAGTTCTCCATCTTAAACTTCCGGAGTACGCAGTCTATATACGGTGTCAGTCGCATGGAGTAGCAACCAGCTTCCCTCTCGATCTCATACCCGAGAAAATGCCGCAGCTGACCAAGGCATGTCACTTCGAACTTGTCACGAAGATTCCTGAATACTTCGTCAATCTCTTTCTCTTCAACACTGCCAATAATCAGATCGTCAACGTATACAACGAGATACACGACACTCCGTCCATGGCGTACGTAGAGACAAGGGTCAGATTCGCAAGCCTTGAACTTCAAATCCAGTAGCACCGCATGTAACGTTTTATTCCAGCATGTAGCCGACTGTCGCAGGCCATAGATGCTTTTACGCAACCTGCAAACCATGTTCTCCTTCCCCTTGATGGAATATCCGGGTGGCTGGGCCATAGACAGTTCCTCGTCAACTGTTCCGTTAAGGTACGCTGTCTTGAAGTCATATTGTTTCAGCAGTAAACCTTTCTTGCTAGCCACCCCCGGAGGTAACCGGAGCGTATACCTCTGTGCAATCAATTCCAAACAACTGAGTGTAGCCTTTAGCGACAATACGCGCCTTGTATTTGACTACCTTCCCCGCTTCATTTCACTTTAGCTTAAAACCCCACTTCACTCCAATCTCTTTCCAGGCGGTAACAGCATCAATTCCCATGTCTGGTTCACGGCGTGTGCTGCTATTTCCGCGTTCATGGCATTTTTCCAATTCGGCACTAGAATTGCTTCTCTATAATCTTCGGGCTCTTCATCTACAGTCACTTGCCCCACTACAAAGTCTTCGTAACGTCCAGGCAATTCTCCTCGAGTACGCCGATTAGCTCTGTTCAACACTGGTTGTTCTTCTGAAAACTCCGGTTCGAAGCCCTGAAAATCACTTTCGTTCATTTCACTAGCATCATCATACTCAGACTGTTCTTGTTCATCAAGCACTTGTGAGCGTCTTTCACTTTCACGACCCTCAAGAAACACACTTCTTCTTCTCGCTCCACAGGAATCTCCGAAGCAATTGGCTTATCCTCCGGCTGTTCTGAGCCATTTCCCAGCTCCAAGGTCACTCTACACACTTATTTTGGGCCAACATTTTGCTCAGTGTGCCTTAAGTGTTCCGTGCTGTGCCGAGAGTGCCAGTCATCGGACTGACTTTGTTTGTGAATAATTGTATGTTTGGTAACCCGGTATTTTGACAGCTCAAACGTTTTGTTTTGCTTGCCGAAAGCGAGCGATAGGAATATCGTACGTGTTGATGTTCTTCGAGAATCCATTTGTGGACGTTGAAGGAAGTCCTGCAATCCGAACTGGTCATTCCGCAAGAAATTTCGCTTTTTGACAAGAATCCCAAGACGTTTGACGGTGTTTGCCAACAAATTCGTGAAGAAGGCCATGATTTGGCAAGCGATTTGCAGTTGTGGCCTGAAAACGGAACCTTTCGTCACATCCTCGACGATGACAATCCAAGTTTACATCGAAGAATACCTGAAAAAGCGTGCATTGCCGCCGTTCATCCGCAAGCATAGGGACGAAGTCATCTTTTGGCCCGATTTGGTCAGCTGCCACTACTCCAAGGTGGTTCTGGAGTGGTATGCTGCCAACAAGATCGATTTTGTCCCCAAGCTAATGAATCCTCCGAATTGCCCGGAATTTCGACCGATCGAAAAATACTGGCCAATTTCAAAGCAGCGACTTCGACGAGATTTCACATGAACTGGAAAAATGTAGCCATATAATGCTGCAACTTTGAAGTTTTAATAAAAGTACTGTAAAGCAACCATTAATGGACTTTTTAAACTTATTGAATCACGAATTACAGGTCTTTTTGTGCGTACCAATTTACTTTTAGTCAGCCTTTAATATCACCGACACACAATCTGACATGCTTGACCATAGAAATTAAAATTAAATTTCTGCTCAAAACACACAAGAAATTTATGACATGGTGCGTGTCTGAGCTATTGTGGACAAATTGTTTTTATCTAGAGTAAAAAATCCTATGGTTTTGACAGATTTTTGAGTGAAACTAGTTCAATGTCATGCCTTGGCCCTTCATCATTTTCAAGAGCTATGACATTTACGACATTCACTTGAAAAAGAACAGGCATCACTGATTAGTTTGAAGTGTGTTGCCTTGCTGAACGTTTCAGTGGCGCAACAATGGCAAATGCGAGCACATTGCTTTCTAAGTCCTTATTTGACTTTAAGGGGTGTTTAGGTGCTCGAAATTTGTATTCCCGATTTTCCCTGTAAAATCATGATTTGGGATTTCCAAATCTTTAAACCTGTTTATCTCCGTAACGAAACCATAATTGATTGTCAATGCTTTTCACCGTGCATTCTTGGCACCATAATCGCTGTGTTTAATGAGACAGCTCAGTTGCCGAAGCTTACTCGTGATTATCTGTCAAAAATAACGGGCAAACCTACCCTGAGCAACTACGAGCTTGTTCGACCTGCTTGTCTCAATGAACACCCGTTTGATCAAATTTACAAATTTCTTTATTTTTGCAGCAAAACACTAATAACAAATCCCAATTGTAAGTAGATTCCTTTCTTCTTGTTCTTCACTGAAATACAAGTGGTCATGCGTCAAAGTCTCGAGTAACAACCGCATTGCATTCGGTTGAACTTTGGCGGAATGGACACCAGCACAAGCAACTCGTAGTAAGTTGAACGCCTGAAAAGAGATAGCAAGTTGTGGCGATCTGTTTCGACCTCTCATTAAACAAAGCTAATCTTTATTCTACTTCGCCCGAGAGGTAACCGGTTTGACAGTTTGGTAGGTAGATTTGGCTTCACTCTTTGCGTGGCTCTTATAGACCGAACCTAGTCGCCCATTCTCACCGGACAGCATCCGCTGGATTTCCGCCAGGGAAATGCCCTTGGTTTCCGGCACCACGAAGAACACGAAAACGGTTCCGAGAAGCGAGAGGCAGGAAAATAGCCAGAAGACTCCGGCATTGCCGAGGCCATCGCGTAGATTGGGGAAGATTTTCGTTACCAAGAAGGCGAGCAGCCAGGCGGACGCACCGGCCAGGGGGCTGACGTAGGCCTTGACGTTGTTGGCGAACAGCTCACCGATCATGAGCCACAGAATGGGGCCGTAGCCGATGGAGAACATGGCGATGAAAAGGCAAACGGCCAAAAGCGGGAGCCAACCGAGGTTCTCGATCTGCCGGGTATCGTCTTCCTTGAGTTGGAAGTACACGGCGAGGAGGATAGTGGAGACGGCCATGAAGAAGCCCGAGATAATCAGCAGGATTCTTCGGCCGGATTTGTCGACGATGAAGGTGGCCAGAAGGGTGGCTACGACTTGGATGACCCCAACGATGATGGTGGCATCGGTGGCTTCCAGTCCGGTATTGGCATCGGTGAAAATGGTGGTGGTGTAAAAGATGATGGCGTTGATTCCGGAAAACTGATGGAAAAACACCAGTCCTAAGCAGATGATCAGCGCCCGGATGGTTGCTCGCTGTTTCAAAACTTGCACAAAGGTGATCTTGTCAGCGCGCATCTTGGCATCTTCCTCTTTGAGATCTTCAATCTCGGCACGTTCGTCATAGTGACTGCCACGGAGCCATTTCAGGGACTTGGAGGCGTCATTGTAGCGGTTCTTTTCAATCTACGGAAATTGCAGGATCATTAGCTATCTGAGTCAGAGGCGTTCAAATGGGTCATACTTACAAAGTAGTGCGGGCTTTCCGGCATAAAGGGGAAGATCAGTCCAAACGCAAGTGGAACCACACTGCAAATGGTACTAAGCACCTGTACGTTTAGAACGGCACCGATACTGTAAGTGAACAGAATACCAACCGTCACCAACAGTTGGAAGAAGGTTCCCAGCGTTCCGCGGATGGATGATTGAGCAATTTCAGCCGTGTAGGTCGGAGCGGCAATACTGAAGGCTCCACCGCCAACGCCGAGGAAGAATCGGCCAACCATCAACATGGCCACGTTGTTTGCAAAGATGATCAACAGCCAACCGATTAATAGCGGAAGCACCATGGACAACATGGCCCATTTCCGGCCAATCATTTTCATCATGATTCCAATGGGGAAGCACATTGATGCCGCACCCAGGGTGGCCATCGAGCCAATCCAGGAGAACTGCTCGGTCGTGATGGGAAAGCCATATTCTGCTTTCTGCACCAGTGGGATCTCCGCCGGCGCGGTCCATCCGAGAAAGGTACCGGCAGCCAAAGCTCCACCGGACGCCGCCAGTCCGGCTATGTACTGCGGGAGCCTCCGGGCAGAACCCCCGGCAACATTGTTTTCCACGAAGCTGCTGCTCATCGCTTTCGCGAGTCTGGAATGCTTGGGAAAAGTTATCAAGAATTAGTACTGGAATTGATTCAAAATGTGATTGATTGAAAGCTATACTACATCATTGTCGGCTGAATAGTACTGATACGTGAATCGTTGAAATGCGTGGAGTGGGTCAGTTTTCGTAATTTTCTTTTTTCCAGCAACTTTTGGCGATAAGATAAATGAATGCGAACAATTGCATATTGAATGTTGAGATGACGATTATCAGTAGCACTTAACGCGTGCAACTGTTTTGATTGACAAGTTGATAAACAGTTCTGTTGAGATACATATTTATTTGAATTAAGTGCGGATGGGGTTTGCTTCAAGTTCAAAGTTCACACAAAAGCAGCTATCCCAATGGGAAATCTAGTATAATTTAATTTCCATTCAATTGATGTAATTTCATCAAATTTAATTAAGAGGCAATTAACATTACTTGATTTGTTTATGCTTCTTCTTCTTCTTTTATTCCTAAATCATCAATTCTATAAGTATTGATATAATTCATTGGTAGCGTGCGTCAATTCATCATAAATATCAACTGGTATGTTGAGCAAAATCTTGCCATCTCTTTTACTCCTTCACTTTTCAGTACTTGGATGATCCCCGAACACGTCGTTAAGCTCTCTTTTATGGTTGTTTTTATTAGGGTAGTCCATAAGAAAGTAGTGGGCAACAATGAAATATTGTATGAAATATTTTTTACGCCCCTGAACGGGAAAGCGAATGACGGTTACGTGCACTGCTGCCATTTCTCCTGTTTGTGTTTTATTCAATCTTGTTTTATCTTTTTGACTGGGTAAGTCACTCTGCCACATTGTGCTAACACGCACAAAAACACACTTCGACACACTTCAAACACCTTTCCACCGCATGATAACCAAGTTTTTTATTCAATTCTGGGACCACTGCTAACAATGTTTAGATTCAATTGTTTTGAAAAAAAAATCTAGTTAATAACGTCGTACCGTCCTGTAATACCCGGGATTGGTAAACATTCTGGATCCGGATTGAAAATCTCCAATCCGAAGAAAAGCAAGTCCTGAACCGGTTGCGATTAACGAATGCAGCAGCATCAAGAGGAACAGACGCTAAAAAGGTGAGGATGTCTTGTCAGAAAACCAAGACAAACGCAACGAAACTGTACCTAATTTCTGATTTTCAGAACGCGGTAGATAAACGATATCACCTTTTTCGCATAGCTCCTGGATGAACTTTTCCTTCGTACTGATATTTTTGGAGCGCCGGCTCGATCACTCCGTTTTCACGAATGCCAATCACTCTTGGTTGTCCTCTTTCAACATTGTCGGATCTCCCAGCGATTCACCGAAATCAGTTAGCAGCTGTCTTAGCCACACAGTTTATTGACAGGCTTCTGACAGGGCGACATATTCTGCCTCCATGGATGAAAGGGTAACACACTGTTGACGGCGGCTAGCCCACGAGATTAAGCCACCATGGTAGTAGAATACTGATCCTGACGTTGATCTTCTGCTTGCGTGATTACCCGCCCAATCTGCATCGGAATACCCTACTAAGCCTTGATCGACAGCTCCACCTAAACGCAGATAGCAATCCGACGTAGCCTTCAAATATCTCAGAACGCGTTTAGCAGCGGTCCAATCTGCTTCGCTGGGAGCCGAAAAACTTCTACCAAGAATCGCCGTGGACGCAGCAATATCCGGTCGAGCAACAACCGACTAGTACAGCAGTCCACCAACTAGACACCTAGCATCTTCGAACACTGCACTGTTGTTTCCATCTTTCAAAAAACCCTGATCCATCGGCGATCTAGTAGTCTTCGCTTCATGCATACCGTTCTTCGAAATGAGCTTCTCGATGTTTTATTTCTTCAGCCGTATCCTGTAGCAATCTTCTCCACGTAGCACTTCTATTCCCAAGAAATGGCGAACTTCACCGAAATCCGTTAATTCGAACTCGTTACACAGACTGTGAACGATCTTCTTCACGATAGCATCCTATATTCCAGATAGCAACATATCATCCACATATATGAGCAGAAACACTTTTGTCTCACCTTCCATCTTCACAAACAAACACTGATCTGCACTAGATGCCTTGAATCCGAGCTTGGTGAGAAAACTCTTCAACCTTGTGTTCCAGCATCTGGCCGATTGACGAAGGCCATAAATGCTTCATTTTAAGCGGCACACTAACTCCTCCTGTCCATTGAGGTAGGCTGCCTTAACGTCCTCAAGGAGGTGGGGATTCACTCCTTTGTGTCCTCTCTGCGACCGACGAACCAGGTCCGAACTTTCAGCTTCGTCATCTATTCTCAGCTTCCTCATTACTGGGTTCCTCCTTAAACGGCCGCAATTCTATGTCGTCTTCAACTTCTATTTGCTCATAGAAACTGGAAACTCCACCGAGGTTGTTCCGTTCCCGAGTTCCAAGAATCGGGCATCTCTGCTAACGGTGATTTTGGCAGTTTCTCGGTCAAAGAAACTGGAGTTTACGAGCCTTTCCGTCAAGTTTGCTCCTCTTCATACCTGGCTACCGAAAATCCTAAGGTGTCCCAGATCCGGCTTTGGTCCCCACCAGAGCTCGTAGGTAGTCTTCGGCACAGACCTAGACGGCAATCGGTTCTGGAGATACGTTGCGGTAAGAACAGCTTTGCCCCAGTATCGCTTCTCAAGACCGGAATCAAAGAACATGCATGTTGCCATTTCCGTGATCAATCTATTTTTCCTTTCGGCAACACCGTTGGACTGGGGGGAATACGCGGTAGTATACTGCGGAGTGATACCTTCTTCCAAGTAAAATTTCCGCAGTCGCTTGTTATCAAATTCTCCCCCGCCATCGGAGCGCACAACCCGTGGTTTACGTCCAAAATTGTTCTCTGCCCAACGCACATAGTCGACAATGTTCTGCGTTGCTTCCGACTTGTGCTGCAGCAGGTAAGTGACCGTGAACCTGCTATAGTCGTCGATGATGTGCATCACGTATCTGTTTCCGCTAGGAGCGACGGTTTTCATCGGGCCGCAAAGGTCCGTGTAGACAATATCGAGGACTTGTAACGACTTCCTTTCGGTTTCTTCTGGGAATGGGGTACGGGATGCCTTCCCCTCTAGACAACATTCACACACAAGTTTTAAACTACAGTCACTCACCTGCATTCCGGTCGCAAGCTGTTCCTTACCGATGCGCTCTGCAGCCGCCCAGTCACGGTGCCCTAGACGCCGATCCCGCTGATGTTGACTGTTCTCCATGTGCTATCCCGATGTTGCCTGCAACGATGATTCAGCAACTCTAAGGTGATACAGACCACCATGGCGGAAACCCGTCGCCACGACAGTCCCAGCTTTCACGATTCTGCAGCCTTCATTGTTGAAATGCACTTCGAAGTTCTTCAAAGTCAGCCTCTCCACAGAGATTAGGCTGGTCGACAATCCCGGCACATATTTCACATTTTCCATGTCAATCTTGATCACTTCATTGTTACCGTCAATACCGTGTATAACGCCACTACCTTCCCCAAGGATCTGAGTCTTGTTCCCATCGGCCATGGTGATCCAGCCACCAGGAAACTCATTCAGGGAGGTAAAAAACGACTTATTGTTCGTCATATGTGCACTAGCACCACTGTCTATGATCCAAGATTGACACTTTCCACTCGAAACGATAAACGCAATTCCTCTGTTGTCACTTTGGGCAGTTTTAGCCTTCACTTTATCACTTCTCTCCTTCTTGGAGGAACTTCCTTCTTCTTTCTTCAGCAACCGGCAATTTCTTCGGAGATACCGCGATAATTCGTTGCTCCTAAATTCTATCGGAAAAGGACTACACTGATCCTAATAAGCAACGGCCTCAGCCACCGAATCGAAGCTTGGAGCGATAACGTTTTCCGAGGGAGCCACTTCCAATTTCCGACAGGACAATAACTTCTACTGGATTGGAGTATGATGAGGACTCGAATGAAACACAGGTGACGCTGGAAAGTAGACGAAGCGAGCGTGCATCATCAGAGGAAACTGCTCCAGATGCTCTTCAGATTCTGATGAACGATTCCGGGAGGAGTTTCTCCCGAAAGCCATCAACTCAATCAAAGATGCGTCGCCAGCGTTCTAGTGGGAGTTTCAACCGGAATCAGACTTCCCTGGTGGAGGTGGGGTATAATATTTCCACACGGTAAGATAGTCCAACGATTGGACAAATGAAGAGAAGAATGATGTCTCTGGAGAAAAGCAGTGCCGGCCAGAGAGCACCTGTAAAAGCTGGGGCGCTGTCGATGGTAGAAAAGTAAACACCGGTGAATATTCTACCTCCGAACATGGTCCGAGTGATCATCGATGAGGAACGAATCATAGAACTGAATGTTGGTTGGCTGATCCTCGGGCTGATCAACGAAGTGGTGAAGCGTTACGGAATCAAACATACTAAACGACCACTGATCAAACTACGACTCCTACGATTGCAAACATCGCGATGTTGAAATGCTCCAATCGCTAGGGCACCATTAAAAACACCGGTCTCTGTACACTCCACGGGGAATTCTTCTTCGCCAAGTCTATAAATATTCTATGTTAAGCGCAGGGTCGTGTCTAAGAGCTAAACCTATACTTTAACCAAATCTAGATAGAGCTGGAATAAGGGGGTAACAGCTTTGGTAAACAATGACTTCTATCGACGATTTCTAGGAACTCAAGGCACACCCAAGCAAACCAACATAACCATCGGGTAGGGGAAGTCTTACCCTACCTGATGGTGTTGTTGATTTGCGTTGGTGAGCCTAAACTTTCTAGAAATTATCGAATGAAGTCATTGTTTACAAAAGCTGTTACGCCCTTATTCCAGCTCTATCTAGAAATAACCGATAACAACTTTCAGGAGCTCACCTTCAAGCCAAACAACTGACCAATCAACATTTTACAATTCCACTTAACCTCCTCGACTGTAATTTCAGCTCCGTCACGAATCTCCCCACCACAAATCGATCTACCAACATCTTCAACGTTCCTTCCACTTCCTCCTTCAGGATTTCACTTTCCGAATCGGCATTATGTCCAGTAGCAGTCCCTTCGTGGTCATCTTTTCAATCAGCTTCCGGAACGAAGCCACCCCCTTCCCAACTTCGATCAAACTGTTCTGAAATACCAAAGCCTTCCGCATCAGATCCTCGAACAGTTCGATCATCTTGAGTGGAGGTACTCCGATCTCGAAGTCTTCCGGTAGCCATCCGGAAGAATTCCAGTATGACCCCCAGATTACAGTTTTACTTGGCAACGGTCATCGCTTTGATGACCTCGCTCATCCTAATGTTTTGACAATATGTGCGCTGTGAGGAAATTCACGGTTGAAGTTATGAAATCAAAAATCGGATTGTGTCAACAACAATGATTATCATTTTGACACATGCACAGAGCAGGCGCAGATATAGTACAGTGTTGCCAGTAACTATAAATATCATGAAAATTTCTAACCATGGGTGCCAATGAAAGTGCCCAGGTGTGCCCGTCTGTATTTTTTTTTTCAGTCCGCTTTAAGAAGCGTCCGAGAACGATTGTGTGTTTTTGCTCAGCCGCGTGCTTTTTTTTTTAGAGCTCGGGCTATCTTTGTGCTGCCGTGTAGTTTTTCGGTGCTCGCATTTGAATAGTATTGTGTCCCGGACACGATAATTCGATTTAGAATGATTTGTGCTGATTTTTTTCCCCCCTCCCCTATTGCTTAGGTGCTTGGTGTGCTCTAGCTCCCTTTGTTGACGGTATGACTCGACGGCGCTGATCTATTATTAGGTTTTTGCGGTGTGCATTGCTTTCGTGCACAGAGTGACATGAAGATGAAAAGTGATATTTAGTTATTGTGTGGTTGGATTCGCTGGATTGTTTAAAAATGACTAGAGAAAATTAAGCATCGAGAATGCGCTCCCGGATATATTGATTTGGTGATTACGTTCCAGTTGAAGATTGTTCTCTCTAAACAACCCTTTTTTGAATACATTTCATTAATCAAACATTATTATATGCTGGGTTTGCGGGGGCAGCCTAAGGGTTTCAAAGGATTTGTAGACTGGACAAGGGCTCGTGGATTTGCCAGTCCCTTGTCACGTGTTGATAGACGTACATCTTGTCGTTTGTCTTCCAAAGGTCTTCAATGAACTTGATTCACCCTGCTGCAACAAACCATCAGGCGGAACTTTACAATCAGTGAAGTATCTGCAGTTATAGGTAATCCTTGCACTGATGGTGGGTTCTATTCACATCACATCACATCACAGGTGTGCCCGTCTATATTTTTGGCACACTATGCGGGGTGACCAACCCCTTGGGTGACCGTTTAAAATTCATTTGCAATATTTTATTAGAACGAAACTACTTTTGTAAACTATGACGATAACCGCCGAATTCTCGCAAATAAAATTTCCCTCCAGCAAATTAATAATGCCAGCTGGTAGAGGAAACATTCCTGATAATGTCGTTACTTTGCATGTGTGAGCTTTTGTTCGCGAGAAATCGATGGCTGAAGCCATTATTTACAAAAGCAGAAGATTAAATTCTTACAAGGGTAAACATCAAATTTTAGAATGAAGGATGACTTTTGATCCACGACGTCGTCAAAATCGAAATTCCAATTCTTTCATAATTTATTTACGATCCATTTATCATTTCGAACTTTACACAATAGACAATGACAAAACATCATTACAACGATAACTATCTGCATTGGAACTAGCTGATACACCTCATTAACGTTGATCGTTTGATATACTGATGATGTCCAAAAATTTCAGACATCGGAAACCTTGAGCATTCATCCGTGTCTTGTCCACTAGATAATTAACTATCCTAATAATTATTTATAATTAACATACAAAATTGCAACCCACTTCTCTCATCCCATCAAGTGTGGTAGATCTCTTAATCAAATCAGTACATTTTGACCTGCGTATTTACCCCTTCGCTCAACACGGCAAATAATAACAACAAGCAAAGATTAACCACATAACGTATTCTACTGCGTATAGGTTTTCTCGTCACCTTCCATGGCCAAGTTGCTGTGGCCGTTGGGTCGTCGCACCTTCTCACCGGACAGCATCCGCTGGATTTCCGCCAGGGAAATACCCTTGGTTTCCGGGACCACGAAGAACACGAAACCGGTTCCGATGAGCGAGATGCCGGAGAACAGCCAGAAGACTCCGGCGTTACCGAGGCCATCGCGTAGACTAGGGAAGATTTTCGTTACCAAGAAGGCGAGCAGCCAGGAAAATGCTCCAGCCAGGGGGCTGACGTAGGCCTTGACGTTGTTGGCGAACAGCTCACCGATCATGAGCCAAGGAAGGGGGCCGTAGCCGATGGAGAACATGCCGATGAAGAGACAGACGGCCAGTACCGAGAGCCAACCGAGGTTCTCCACCTGAGCGGGATCGTTTTCCTTGAGTTGGAAGTACACGGCGAGAAGGATAGTGGCGATGGCCATGAAGAAGTCCGAAAGCATCAGCAGAATTCGACGACCGGTTTTGTCGACGATGAAGGTGGCCAGGAGGGTTGCTACGACTTGGATGACCCCAACGATGATGGTGGCATCGGTGGCTTCCAGTCCGGTGTTGGCATCGACGAAAATGGTGGTGGTGTAAAAGATGATGGCATTGATTCCGGACAACTGGTGGAAGAATACAAGACCAAGGCAGATGATCAGCGCCCGGATGGTTGCTCGCTGTTTCAAGCTTTGCAAAAAGGTGATCTTGTCGGCGCGCATCTTGGCGTCTTCCTTTTTGAGGTCTTCGATTTCCGCACGTTCGTCATAGTGGCTGCCTCGGAGCCATTTCAGGGACTTGGAGGCGTCGTCGTAGCGGTTCTTTTCAATCTGTACGAAAAATGAGTGATCATCAGCTTTCTGATTCATAAGTGATAAAACGGATCAATCTTACAAAGTAGTGTGGACTTTCCGGCATGAAGAAGAAAATCAATCCAAACACAAGTGGAATCACACCGCAAATAATACTCAGCGTTTGTACGCTGACAGCGGCACCGACCCCGTAGGCGAACAGAATACCAACCGTCACCAACAGTTGGAAGAAGGTTCCCAGCGTTCCTCGGATCGATGATTGAGCAATTTCAGCCGTATAGGTTGGAGCAGAAACACAGAAGGCTCCACCGCCAACGCCGAGGAAGAATCGGCCAACCATCAACATGGCCACGTTGCTGGCGAAGATGACCAACAGCCAACCGAGCACCAGCGGGATAACCAAGCTCAACATGGCCCACTTCCGGCCAATCAGCTTCATCATAATTCCGATGGGGAAGCACATTAACGCCGCACCCAGATTTGCCATCGAGCCAATCCAGGAGAATTGCTCTGAAGTAATGGTAAAGCCATATTCTGCATTCTGCACCAGAGGTATCTCCGCCGGCGAGGTCCATCCGAGGAAGGTACCAGCAGCCAGAGCACCACCGGACGCTGCCAGTCCAGCGATGTATTGCGGAAGCTTCCGACCCGACTCACCGGCCATGTTGTTCACCTCGAAGCTGCTCGTCATGTGAAATGATCAGACCAGCATCCACTATGGACAAACCGTACTAAGCGTAAATCGCTGGAACGAGCGGAAAGTGTTCGTTTTTGGAATTTGCCAATACTGAGCAACGTTTGATGATAAGATAAATGTATGCGAACAATTGCACTTTAATTGATGCCAACGACAAGCCCGGGTTGATAATGCGATAGTGCTAATCACAGTGGAAAATGTTACGCGCTGCTGGCCGAGCTTGATTCAGACGTACAACTGTTTCGATTGTCTACCTGCCAATAATGCCAATAATAAAAAACTGTTCTTTGGAGATACGCATTTGAATCAAGTCACACAACAGTCCCTTGAGTTACAGGTAAACAATCACACAGATGCAACCGTTTCGAAGGGAAAACCTAAACAGTTTAAAAGTTACTCTTTTGCTAATAAAGACTTCTCTGACGTATGTGAATGGCCAAGCTTCAGTGCAAAACTTTGGGTAAATTATTGGGATAAGTGCAAGAAAATCATATGCATATAAACTTCTCTGAAGGCCCAAGTATTTGTGCACCGTGTATATTCACAAACGTCAACATTAGAAGCAGAAAAGGAGACAAACTAGTCAAAATTTGAACTGGTCGTTAGGTACTTAACAGCGTATATCACGTGATATACACTGTCTTGCAATGAGCACTCATACATCTAGTTTTCACTGGCAATTTAATGTATGAGTGCTCATTAGACTGATGCAAAATTTGAAATTTTCGCTCCACTGTGCTCAAACGGGTTCAAATCAGGTTCTCATTAGCCTCCAAAATTTAAACTCATTTAGAAAGAAACTTAATTGGCACAAACTATTCGAAGTTTATATGGAAATTACTATGGGAAAACCAAACTTTTTGTTCATTGTCTTCTACCCATTTTCCTTACTGCTTTTTCGAAAAATTCAATAACTATTCCTACGGGAAATTTTCTAAGCTACAACTTTGCCCAATTTCGTTTTTCTGCCAAATGTCAAACTAAATTGTTATTAATTGTTTAAGAGATTGATAATCTTATGGCATGATCAAGCAGCTGTTCTGTGGGCAACACTGTATTCTGCAGTGCGACATACACGCTAACTTAAAAGTACCCATTAATGGTTGAAAAAGACCCATTTTGAAGAAAAGTGGCTTAACTCATTAAATGAGTAAATTTTTTACCCATTAATGAGTATCTGTTACCCATTAATGAGTAATTGTTAATCATTAATGGGTAACAGATACTCATTAATGGGTAAAATTGTTTAATCATCAATGAGTTAAGCCACTTTTCTTCAAAATGGGTATTTTTCTACTCATTAATGAGTACTTTCAAGTTAGCGTGTAGTAGCCATGATATTTGTGCTCTATTCTTCGCACCAGAAACACCAATGTTGCCTGCTGAACAGTTGAATGAGCATAATCGTAAGACATCAGTGTCTTGAATCATTAATAACTTTTGTTCCTTACTTTTCATTGAAAAGTGGTTTTCACCAAAGTTGTAGCTGTTGTAGATTATTTCCAATAATCACTGCTATCATTTTTAAAAGCATAGTGATGTGGTGGGCTACAAAATGGTGAGTGACAATCTGGAAGGAGCGATATACCTAGCTCCGGTCCTCACAAGTTCCTACCTCACGCCTCCACGAGTCATATGATCACAAAAGACTGCCAGCTGAAACATGGACACAGCTGGTTTGCGTAGCCTGGGCAATGTTGCCAATGTTGCAGAGTGAGGAAGTGCGACGCGAACACTGGCGCGGTAACCATAGCACGGTGATAGAGGAAATGCTTCGCCAACCCGAGCGTCTATTCACCATGGAGGTGCGGCTCATACAGCGTCTGACTGGCATCCAGCGGCTGAATAAGAAATGCTCTTCCCCGGAAGCTACATCTAAGATGGCAGCCCCATCACGGCGGATAGGAGACCTTAGGCCAACCACCTATTGTCTCTGAAACCTTTACAATTGTTACAGAAACCAACAGAGAAAGACATCGAACTGATATAACGGCAACGACTTTTAGCGCAAAACAACGGACACGAATTGGATCATGGAATGTATTGACGTTAGCCCAGCAGGGTAAACTATCACAACTCGCCAACGAGGCGCGACGCATGAAGCTAGAAATCCTGGGACTGAGTGAAGTTCGTTGGCCAAACTTTGGAGAACACAAACTGCCGTCGGGGCAGGTACTACTATACTCTGGTATTCGAGGTGAAAACGCTCCCCGCCATCGTGGAGTTGGTCTCCTACTTAGCGTCCAGGCAAGTGCTGCGCTCATCAAGTGGGAGCCTGTTAATGAGAGGATAATCGTTGCCAGATTTAGAACACGGGTTCGTAACCTTACCATAATCCAATGTTATGCGCCAACCGATGCTGCCGAGCTACAGGACAAGGAGAATTTTTACAGTCAACTGAATGCCGTCGTGGATAAGGTTCCAAAGGGTGACATCAAGATCTACACTGGCGACTTCAATGCGAAGATCGGCTCCGACAACACGGACTATGAGCGTGTCATGGGACGCCATGGTCTCGGCGAAATGAGCGAGAACGGTGAGCTGTTTGCAGAATTTTGTGGCAATAACGACATGGTGATCGGGGGCTCGCTCTTCCTCCATCGGCCAGTGCACAAAGTCACGTGGGTTTCCCGTGATGGACATACCGAAAATCAGATCGACCTCATCTGCATCAGCCAAAAATGGAGACGGAGCCTTCTTGATGTCCGGAATAAACGCAGCGCCGACATCGCGTCTGACCATCACCTTCTAATCGGTGAAATCCGCCTACGCATGGCGCGGATCCAGCGACGGGAGGAGAGACTCGGGCGGCGGTTCAACACACGCCGACTTGAAGATCCAGCGGTAAAAAGGTCTTTTGTTGAAGAACTTGAGACTCGAGCTGCGGACGTTCCAGAAGGTGGCAGCGTAGAAGAACAATGGACGGCCATCAAGAATGCCAACAAGCGAGAACAACTTGGGTGAGCTGCGCACCCATAGGAAAGAGTGGATCACAGATGAAACCTGGCGGAAGATTGAGGAGCGTAGAGAAGCAAAAGCCGCGATAGAGCGGGCGAGAACCAGAGGAGCCAAGAACGAAGCCCGTCAACGGTACTCGGCTCTAGAGAAGGAAGTCAAGCGCTCTTGCAGACGGGACAAGCGAGCGTGGGTGAACTCCCTGGCCGACGAAGGGGAGAAAGCCGCAAACACTGGCGATATACGCCTCCTCTACGATATCTCACGACGCCTGAGTGGAGCAAGGATGAACCCGAGGATGCCAGTGAAGGACACGACTGGACAATTGCTTACCGACCCCATTGACCAGCTGAAACGCTGGTTTGAGCACTTCGAACAACTTCTTCAAGTTTCGACGGCCAACCAGCCATCAACATCTCGGCATGATCCGCCTAGGGTGCGGCGCATCACTCGCGTCAATTCCGAGGCCCCATCACTGCAGGAGATTGAAGCAGCTATCCGAAGCATGAAATCCGCACAAATGTTGCATCAACTATTCTGTAATATCTGGGACACCGCGACTTTTCCGGCCGACTGGATGCAGGGCATCTTAGTGAAGGTCCCAAAGAAGGGGGATCTGACTGTGTGCGACAATTGGCGAGGCATCATGTTACTGTGTATTGTTCTCAAAGTTCTGTGCAAAGTTATCCTGAATCGGATACAGGAGAAGATCGACGCGACTCTCCGACGGCAGCAGGCAGGATTCCGTGCCGGAAGATCTTGTGTGGACCATATTGTCACGCTCCGCATCATCCTGGAGCAGGTCAATGAATTCCAAGAGTCCCTTTATTTGATATTCATTGACTACGAAAAAGCTTTCGACCGTCTCAATCACGAGAACCTGTGGGGCGCCCTGAGACGCAAGGGAGTCCCGGATAAAATCGTCAACCTCATCGAAGCGCAGTATGAGGCTTTCACGTGCAGAGTTCTGCATAACGGAGCCTTGTCCGACCCTATCCGTGTAGTCGCTGGTGTGAGACAAGGATGTATACAATCACCGCTACTGTTTCTCATCGTAATCTACGAGATCATGGTAGGTGCAATTGACCGTGTACCGAACCGTGGGCTGCTTTGGCAGCCTATCACCATGGAGCATCTCAACGACTTCGATTTGGCTGATGATGTTGCTCTACTAGCACAACGGCGCTCTGATATGCAGAGTAAGCTCAATGACCTAGCCGAACGCACCTCTGCGGCGGGTCTCACCATCAACGTCAACAAGACCAAATCGTTGGATATCAACACGGGCAACCCTTCCAACTTTACGGTAGGCAAGCAGTGGAGAAGGTCGAAAGTTTCCAATATCTTGGCAGCCAAATAGCGTCGGACGGCGGGACCAGGAGCGACATAGGTGGCTCAGTTTCGTCATCCAACTGCACTCCACCGTAGATGGTACTCAACACCTTCCGTTAGAAAACACCAGCATAGTCCAGGGCTCGTGGCCGTAGAGGACCACCGGTCTAATCAGCGTCTTGTAGACAGTCAACTTCGTACGGCGGCGAATTTTATTCGACCGGAGCGTCCTCCGGAGTCCAAAGTAAGCACAATTCCCTGCCATAATGCGTCTTTGAATTTCTCTGCTGGTATCATTTTCGGCGGTCTCCAGTGAGCCCAAATACACGAACTCATCGACCACCTCGATTTCGTCACCGTCAATCTGAACGCGGGGTGGGAGACTAACATTGCCTTCCCTAGAACCTCTTCCTTTCATGTAAACATGCAAACAGTTTCTTTGTCGCCATCATTCAGCGAAGTATTTGACCTATTTGACTTTGATATCAATGCCTCCAGATTTCGTCATCGTTTGTGACTACATTTAGATTTAAGTGTTTCACTGAGACAACCAAGTCAGATGGACTATAATAATAATAAATAAATAAATAAATAAATGCCATTTTAAATTTGGTTGGTTGACGAACCAAAAGATGCGTGGTGATCTTGTCGAGCGACAAGAAATTGTTGTTTAATTTTCTAGGATGACCACTTTTTTATGAATTTTGTCATGCGTCAATGACAAACGCGGCAATAGAATTATTAACATCGTCGTTTTCGATTATTTCCGTTAGGTGGCTTTCAATTTTGGATGACAATTTATTCTACAGAGAGCATTACGTATTTCAACTGAGATCCGTTCGCTGCTCGTATCAATGTTCATCCTGTATTCGAGATGAGCATCATCTGATTACAAAACAACCGTCATCCGGTTGCACCTATCATTTGAAAAAGCGATTTCAATGTTTCGATATGAATGGTCTGAGGTTTCATTCGAACAGAGAATGATGTTTTAATACAGTGTAGGATGGATCGAACCAAAAAGGTAGAGCTGACTCTCTGACTCGTTTATTTAAACAAGTGTTGGCGCGCTTACCCTAAGTTGTGTTTAATTTTTTCTTCATCCGTCGCACCAAGGGCTCAGCGATGGGCAGCAACGATATTACGGTCTATCAGGGGAATTACTTCACGGCAACAAAACAAACAAAAACTGCACTACCTATTTTTACAACTTCCCCTTTTGCAGGTTGATTTACTTGTGATCGAACAACAACAAAACTTTCTAATGCAGGTTGATATGCAGTGGCTAGTGGAGCGTTGAAAATCACGTTTCTGTCAGTTGCGCTGAGCGGACGCGGTTGCCAGAAGGTCTAAACTGGTCTAAAAGTGTGCCCACTAGCACCAGCTGTGGAGCGTGTTGCGAGAACCAACAACAAGATTAGTTGCATTGGTGTTTCAACTTGATCTGACCGATCGTCTATTTCTCTCATCGCTGGTAAGCAGTGTTTACAGAAATCATCGTAAGGTAAACCTCCTCCATTTGCCAATGGTTGTAACGCCATCTTGCCGAAAACCGTCGGCCTTTCAGCGTCCGCCATTGCCAGAGTCGTTCCGGCATTTCATCGCGAGCGCTCACGGGCCTGCAGATTGTCATCATCTCCATCAAGCTACTTTGTCGGGTTGAACATTAGTTTCAATCATCATTGGGGTCACATTGAGCCTGTTGATGTTAACAAAATAAACAAATGGCATGCCTTGATGTCCTTCAGGGTACCTTGGCGTATGGTTTACCTCAAAGACTGATATATGCTGTCCACGTAGGTCATGATGTGGGTGCTGAAGCTTCTTCAATGCGAGTTAGATGTACATTGTGCAGCAAGTGAAGTCCCATTGAAGGAGGGGTGTGGTGAACAGTATTTGCCTTTGAGAGCTCCTTCCATTACTTGAGACTTCCGAAAATCTCTCGAACAGTTCCAACAGCGTTTCAAAAATGAGTCAACATTTCCTTTCAGATATCCTGAGATGCCTTCGTTGCTTGGGTCGAATAAATTTGTATATTTGCCTTGTTGAATTAAGGAACACACGTTCTTTCAAGGTCGTCATCAAGATCGAAATACGTTAAGTCTTAATGTTATCAAAATTTATTTAGGATCGCTTATCATTTCAAACTTTACACAATAGACAATGACAATACTTCAGTACAATAATAACGCCCTGAATTTGAAACTAGCTCGTTAAACTCATTCACGTTTACGGTTTGATATGTCGATGATGACCATACATTTCCGATATCGGAAAAAGTGAGCACCCATCCGTATCGCTTTCACTAGATAAATAACTATCGTTAATAATAATAATTATTATATAAAAATTGCAAACCAGCAAACGGCTTAGCTAGTAGAGTTGGGCTCAACACGGAAAATATTTACAACAAATATAGCTCGACCGCGGGACTGCGTGTTCTACTGCGTATCGGTTTTCTCGTCATGCTCCATGGCTGGATTGCTGTGGCCACTGGTTCGTCGCACCTTTTCACCGGACAGCATCCGCTGGATTTCCGGCAGGGAGATACCCTTGGTTTCCGGCACCATGAAGAACACGAAAACGGTTCCAAGGAGCGAGAGGCCAGAGAACAACCAGAAGACTCCAGCATTGCCGAGGCCTTCGCGCAGGTTGCTGAAGATTTTCGTTACCAAGAAGGCGAGCAGCCAGTTGAACACACCGGCCAGGGGGCTGACGTAGGCCTTGACGTTGTTGGCGAACAGTTCACCGACCATGAGCCACGGAATGGGACCGAAGCCGATGGAGAACATCGCTATGAAGAGGCAGACGGCCAGAACCGGGAGCCAACCGAGACTCTCCACTTGAGCGGGATCGTCTTCCTTGAGTTGGAAGTACACGGCGAGGAGGATAGTGGAGATGGCCATGAAGAAGTCCGAAATCATCAGCAGAATTCGACGACCGGTTTTGTCGACGATGAAGGTGGCCAGGAGGGTTGCTACGACTTGGATGACACCAACGATTATGGTGGCATCGGTGGCTTCCAGTCCGGTGTTGGCTTCCCGGAAGATTGTGTTGGTGTAGAAGATGACGGCGTTGATTCCGGACAACTGTTGGAAGAACATCAGACCGAGAGAGATGATCAGCGCCCGGATGGTCGCTCGCTGTTGGAAGCTTTGTGCAAAGGTAATCTTTTCGGCACGCATCTTGGCATCCTCCTCTTTGAGATCTTCAATTTCAGCACGTTCGTCGTAGCGACTGCCTCGGAGCCATTTCAGAGACTTGGAGGCGTCATCGTAGCGGTTCTTTTCAATCTACGAACATTTGATGATCGTTAGCATTCTGAGTTAGAAGCGATGAAATGGGTAATACTTACAAAGTAATGCGGGCTTTCCGGCATGAAGAAAAAGATCAGTCCAAACGCAAGTGGAATGACGCCGCAAATGATGCTCAGCACCTGTACGTTGACAGCGGCACCGACACCGTAAACGAACAGAATACCAATCGTCACCAACAGTTGGAAGAAGGTTCCCAGCGTTCCACGGATCGACGATTGAGCAATCTCAGCCGTGTAGGTCGGAGCAGCGATACAGAAGGCTCCACCGCCAATGCCGAGGAAGAATCGGCCAACCATCAACATGGCCACGTTGTTTGCAAAGATGATCAACAGCCAACCGAGTAGTAGCGGAAGCACCATGGACAACATGGCCCACTTGCGGCCAATCATCTTCATCATGATTCCGATGGGGAAGCACATCAACGCCGCACCCAGATTTGCCATCGATCCGATCCAGGAGAATTGCTCTGTAGTAATGGGAAAGCCATATTCTGCATTCTGCACCAGAGGGCCTTCAGCCGGCGAGGTCCATCCGAGGAAGGTACCGGCAGCCAGGGCACCACCGGACGCTGCCAGTCCGGCAATGTACTGCGGCAGCTTCCGGCCGGACTCTCCGGCCACGTTATTCACCACAAAGCTGCTCATCGTTTCGCGGGTCTGGAATGTTTGGGAAAAGTGATGGAAAATTAGAATCGATTTGAAATATGATTGATTGAGTGCTATATATATATACATCATCGGCAGTGATCTGATCAGCATCGACAATGGTGGAACCGTATTGACGCGTGCCCGGTGCCGGAGTGGCAGCAGGAATCGCTGGAATGAGCGGGGTGCGCTCGCTTTCGGGATTTGCCATTTTTCAGCCTTATCTTTTGGTGATGAGATAAATTGCCTCGTGTACAGGTGAACAATCGCACTTTGAATAATGACGACTACCAGAAGGAATGATAATGCGATAGTGCTAATCACATTGGCAAACGTTTCGGTTCGTTGGCGCAGCTTGATTTGGGCGGAAAATAGTTTTGATTGGCAGGAAGATTAACTTTTGTTGAAATCAGTGCTTGATTTAAGTACTAGCGGCTATTGCTTTAAGCAACACGTTATCTTTGCCACAAATGCATCCTTTCCAACTTGCAATTCTGTTCCAATTTCGGGTGTTTCTTCAAATTTGAATTCACTTATTCCGATCGAATTCTTTTCAATATGGACCAAAAACTATCGCGACGCAGTCGTCGTGAAAAAGTCTGCTTCAATGATTTCCATGAGCTGCAATTTTTCTTTATCCAGTTATGGTGAATCAACGCCAAAAGTAGGGAAGTTTTGTTTATGTTTTTTTTGGTACTGGTCATCGCAGTGCTGATAAAAATTCGCACACCAATAGGCTGTGCTATTTCGATAAGAATATGTATAGTTGTGTAGTAGCAGGCTAACTACGACACTGGCAAAAGATAAAAATGAATGAACGGCCTTTCGTTCATTCATCTGGCTGTCAATTGAATGAAGGTTTAGTACAAAATGTTCCACTTGCTCGATGCGATGTGATGGCAACACTTGAAAGTGGATGTGGCGCGCGATTTCTTTATCGAAGCACGTGTTGCTTGGTGTGAGATAGGTTGAGATAAATTTATGTTCAATCAAAGCAGGTTATTGTTATTTGGATTTTTTAGGATAATAATTATTCTGGTGCTGTCTAGAATCATAAGGGCCTAACTGCGATGATCGATACTCTTTATCAATTTTCTCGTTGATATTGCTTTAACCAGCTAATACATCCTTAATGGAACAATTTAGGAAAATTGCTTCACTTAACTACTTTAATGCGAAGATTAAATCGATCATCGCGGTTGGGCCGTAGAGATATTATTGGTATTTTTGCAAAAACGAAAAGGACTTACTCTTTTGTAACATGCTTGCCCAATAAATCAATATCACAGTGTTGTGGCTGGACGAGTAAATTGCACCACATCAGCTTTGCGTTAATCACTTGACTATTATTAAGGGGGGAGTACACTTTGATTTAAAAAAAAAAAATGCATTTTTTTTGGCTTAAAATGTTCCTTGGGATGTATACTTTAATTTAGAAAAGACTTCAAGTCCGCCAGAATATTCCTTACCGCTTTACGAAGCGATTTCCTAAAACATGTACCGGCGCGCTGATAGAGCACTTTTATCTTTAAACGCGTTTATCTCGAAACGGGAAATAACTCTAACCAGTTATCATCAAATTTGGATATCGCCTAGATTTTCTTGTTCAGAATTAAATTTTGCTTAGAAATACGTATCCACATTTTCGATTTTGTCAAAAATGGATTTTTAATCCACGATTTTGTAAGCATTTTTAGGGTGAAAATGGACTTTTTTTCCTAAGGCCACAACTTTAGAAAAAAATAATTAAAAAAAAAATCGGAATGCGTATTTCTAACCCAAAATATCATTACTAATCAGGATTTTTGTTCGATTTATGTTCCAGGATCACATGGAAAGGAGTATTTTCCCACGCCGTTTTCCGACTTCCGCGCGAGGACGCCCGCGCGACCTGGTGCACTGGCCACGGGGAGACGCCAATCGAGTTCAAAAAAATACAAATTGTAGTTCGAAGGATGACTAATAAATGGGTTATAACATATTTGCCCTCCCTGAGTGTTTTATTGCTTAAAAAAATTAACGAAAATGCCTTACTTTTTGGACGTTCAAAGTGTACTACCCCCTTAATACCAAACAAGGGAAACCCCAACTTCTCCGTCCGAGATGTCGCAAGCAAGCTGGGAGTGTGCTTACGACGTCGGCCATCCTACCGCAAGCAGAAACCGTCAGAGTGTATCATTTTCCTGCTGCTCGCGACTGAATCGTTCGTCCACTTTAGATATCATTGAATTTTAGTTTTTGATAGTCTACACTAGCGTTTGTACCATCTTCGGCATCGACTGTATAGTAAGTAGCCCGATTCAGAAGCAGTATACAGTAGAAACTCGCCCGTGTGCAAGCCGTCGTTTGGATTACTGAGTGGAAGCCTTTGATAGTACTGCAGCAAGTGCAATTCCGGATCAATAATGTTTCCAACGCCGCTATCAGAGGATTTTTTCCTGAAATGTCGGACCGACTTCTACGAGTGTCCGAAAAATATCCTCGCGCAAAATGTCTGCCCACGGATAGATCCATTCGAAGCGTGTATGTCGCAGAAGGCGTTGGAAAACACTCAGCATGTATTCACATACAAGATTGAAAACGAGGGCAAACCTTTGACGAATCAGAAAAGTTCCGGCCGTTGCTGGTTGTTTGCGGCACTGAACTGCATCCGGATTCCCTTCATCAAGCAGTACAACCTGGACGAGTTTGAGTTTTCCCAGGCGTACCTCTTCTACTGGGACAAAATCGAACGGGCCAATTACTTCCTCAACAACGTCGTCGATACTGCTCGACGAGGGGAAACGGTTGATGGCCGGCTAGTAGCATTCCTTCTGTCGGATCCGACGTGCGACGGTGGCCAGTGGGACATGCTGGTGAATCTAATCAACAAGCACGGTTTGATGCCGAAAAAGTGCTTCCCGGAGAGCTACAGTTGCGAAGCAAGCACGAGGATGAATTCCGTTATCAAGAGTAAGCTGCGTGAGTACGCTAAAGTATTACGTACGCTCATCGCCGATGGGGCCAGCGACGAAGACGTGCAAGCCAAAATCCAGGAGCAAATGAACGAAGTGTACAACGTGGTCGCCATCTGTCTTGGCATTCCGCCGGAGAAGTTTACCTGGGAGTATTACGATAAGAGCAAGAAATATCTAAGCATCGGACCAATCAAACCGGTAGATTTCTACGAAAAGTATGTCAAACCATACTTTAATGTCGACGATAAGGTGTGCCTGGTAACGGATCCTCGCGAGGCGAACCCCTACGGACGGTCGTATACCGTGGACTGCCTGGGGAACGTGGTGGGAGGACGACCGGTGTTGTACAACAATCAACCGGTGGAGACGTTGCTGGATTTGGTGACGAAAGCACTGAAACTCGGCGAACCGGTGTGGTTCGGGTGCGAAGTTAGCAAACGCTTTGCTGGCAAACAGGGATCTAGATATACATGACTTCAAGTTAGTATTCGGAGTAGATATTCAAACTACTATGGATAAGGCAGATCGCTTAATGTACGGAGAATCGATGATGACTCACGCTATGGTATTTACTGGGGTGTCCGTTGACCCCAATACGCAAAGACCGACAAAGTTCCGCGTGGAAAACTCCTGGGGCGAGGACCGTGGCGAGAAGGGATATCTCATCATGACGGCCGAATGGTTTAAGGAATTCGTGTTTGAAGTGGTGGTCGATCGTAGCATAGTTCCACAGGACGTACTTGACGTTTTCGATTTGACCCCAACCGTTCTGCCTGCATGGGACCTGATGGGTACACTGGCTAAGTAAATCACCATCATAGAGTCACACGACGCAGTGCGGTTATTTGGACCTTGTCCACTTTGCATGAAAGATAAATTATACTAGGTACTATATAGGTACTTTAAGCTTCTTAATTGAAAGCAGTTGTAGGAAAAACAAACAAAAATAAGGGCGAACCGTATGTTGCAATTCACAAGCGTGTTAAAACTGATACGCGTGAAGCTTGAATTGAAAGCCATTCTTGTATTTGACAAGAAATAACATAAATTAGCTAATATGTAAACTGTATTTAAATGATTAACATATTAATAATCAATATATGTCACAGGAATGCGGGAGACGTATTTTTTTTAATGAAAATAAATATAACAATACTGAAATTGTAAAAAAAAAAAAAAAAAAAAAAAGTGTCGTCTCCAACCGTGCATCGAGGTAGGAAAAAAGAGCCTGACTGTTGACGTAAAAGAATATAGTGACTCCAAATCGCAACGATAAACAAATCAAGATGGCCAAACCACGATCCCGGAAGTTGTACATGTACCGAAAATATCCAAATCGTAGAATTTGACAGCTTTTCAGAAAACAACGGCCGCCATCTTGGATTCCAAAATGGCGTCAGACATCAATTTTCGGGATGTACAGGTCGACCCAGTTCCGAAAATATCCATATTTTAGGGTATTTGACAGTTTTTCTGAAGTCACTTGGATTCAAAACTGGCATCAGACCTCGATTTTTTGGGATGTACGCGTAGTACTTGTTCCGAAAATACCCAAATTTGATAGTTTTTCTGGATTACAAAATAGTGTCAGATATATATTATCGGGATGTACACGTCGAACCCGTTCCGTAAATACCCATATTGTAGAGTATATGACAGTTTATCAGAATCTGAGAGCCACCATGTTGGATTAAACAATGGCGTTGAACATCGATTTCGGTCTCTAGACGTCATCCCGATTCCGGAAATACCCAGTATTTTTTAGTATTTCCCACTTTTTCTTAAATCGGTAGCCGCCATCTTTGATTTCAACATGGAGCTGGACAACATTTTCGGGTTTAACACGTCATCTCGGTTCCGAAAATATCCATATTGAAGGGTATTTGGCAGTATTTCTCACTTTTTCTGAAATCGGCAGCCACCATCTTTGATTTCCCGATGGCGCTGGGCATCGGTTTTTGGCCTTTAGACGTCATCCCGATTCCGAAGATATACATATTGAAGGGTATTTTTCAGTATTTCCTTGAAACCGGAAGCCGCCATCTTGAATTTCAAGATGGCGATGGATGAAGATTTTTGGTCTCGAGACGTCATGTCGATTCCGAAAATATACATATTGACTTGTATTTGACAGTATTTCCCACTTTTTCTGACATTGGAAGCTGCCATCTTGGATTAAAATACGGCGTCGGTCATCAATTTTATGGTTTTAGACGTTATCCCGATTCCGGAAATACCCATATTGAAGGGTATTTGGTAGTATTTCCCACTTTTTTCTGAAATCGGCAGCCGCCATCTTTGATTTCCAGATGTCGCTGGACATCGATTTTTGGTCTCTAGACGTCATCCCGATTCCGAAAATATACATATTGAAGGTTATTTGGCAGTATTTCCCACTTATACTGAAATTGGAAGCCACCATCTTTGATTTCAAGATGGCGCTGGATA